GACCATTTTAAGGTGTGTAACCCCCGTCAGCTATGTAAGCGCTGCTAGTAAGCTCAGTTATTCCTGCATGCCGGTGAACAGGGACGCTGTTGTCATTGGGACTTCGCGACGCACTCAGCTGCGAACAGGGACGCTAGAAGCATATGTGTGTTTGCTTTGTCGCCTTCGCGTCAGATATGCCAACGATTTTTTTGTATGTTTTGACAATTTTCGGTGGGAAGAGATCTGGCATCACACCTGTTCATACAAGCATGATCCTGCTTATGCCCAGCTAACCGCAATTTTATCCAATTGTGCGTCTTCAAAACATGCTTGCAAATGTCTGCAAAGCGTGTCTAGCCGTAAATGGCCGATTAAGATTATTTGCTAAGAAAGCAAATATTGAGTTTGTTTAACAAGGCGGTCATTGCAGTCCTTTGTGAAAAATGGTTATTATTTCACGGCGGTCTTCGCGTACCGAACAATCTCCGACTGGTGTCATCTGTAGCGATAAAACGTCTGCAGGGCAACATGGGTTGGCCTTTCTTCATTTTGACCTCATTTTAGTCCGCATTTATTGAACACAAATGAGACCCATAACGCATAGACTACACTGAAGTCCCAGGTCAGGAGGTGAAAGGCCATTCCGTCCCAGCGCGCGGTGCTTACCGGCTGCCATTCTGGCGACACCGGGCGGGTCCCAGGTCGAACTGGAGGCCCTTAGAGAGATACACCACACACTGCTTCCCCCTCTGACACGGGGGTTCACCTGACCTGAGCAATTACCCCGGATCGATGCAGGGGTCCAGTAATTCAGTCTCCGTTCAGCAAGTGTTCCCCTAGTCGGCTCAGAAACACTTGCCGACACGGGACTCCCTGTCATGGCCTATGGACTCCTGAACGACGCAAGGGTCCCTCACCGTTTCACCGGTCCCACCCGATGGAAATGCGGGCCCCGGTCTTTTCCCTGCTTGGGAAATGGGCCCCAGGACTTGGATCAACGCGGAACAGACTGTGGTAAGCAGCGCCACCTGGGATGGTTGCGCATGCAGCCAACAGATGGTGTGCGTTTTGTTGTGTCTTTGTGGGGCTCGCATTTGAAAACCGCGAAAAATTACCGGTAGTCCCAGCTCCAGTGGAGGCTCCTGCTTAATCTACATGCAGCAAAATGACCCCAAGCGCCCTCCGCCTCCTTATCTACTCTCATGGCCAGTTGCATAGGAGCGTTTCCCGGGAACGCCACCAGACGACGCCACTCGTCAATACCTCCAGGCCACTGCCGACTGACGGTAATCGGCGATGGTACCTTAAGCGTTGTGACCTTCAATAACGGGCAACATCCATTGCAGAGAACACGTCGAGGCGTCGAGGCGTCGAGGCTTACCAAATAAGTGAGTGAGCCAAATAAGCCAGTGCGGGGTAACTTAAATCGTACCAAACCGCGGGGTATTTATTGGGGTATTACGGGGTTACAATGTTCAGGGGTATCTTGGTTGACTTTATTGGGGTGAGTGGGTCATGGCCAGCCCGGTCCCTTCCTCATTTCCGTTCGTACGTCTGTTATCAGGGGCAATGTTTTTCGATGTAAGTTGGGTGACTGAGCAGAATAAAATGGATAAAACTTACCTCAAAAACGCAAGAAGGCTGGTACCACTGGACATTGACCCACTTTCTTCCCGAGGTTGGAGGGTGAGGGTTTTGTGCACTTCTTTTCAGAAACACTAACTGCACCGCTTATGTGCTGCCTGGAGTGGGTTGCACAGTAAAATGCAAAATAGCAAAATGCAAAAGCATCTATTTGTGCGTCCACTATGTAAGGTCCAAATGCGTCGGTTGTAAACTTCTGATAGGGTCACCACTTTAGGGATGGGTCCGGGCACAACCACAGGCTGATGCAGTGGATACTCTCCCCAAAGTCGAAACGCTTACTTCTGAACTTCTCGAATCTGAATGTTGACATGATAATGAGAATCGAACTTCGCATCGTTTGCTCTCTAGACACGATGTTTTGCCTGTCTCTAGCTCAGTTAAGGATCAGAAATTAAGTGAACGGCGTTTTTTCTTCCCGGCCAAGAGTTCTCTTCAAGAAAGCATCCACGGAAGGATAAAGGAACGACCGGCTGCAAAGCGACCAGAGCTCCAACGGCGAGTTAGAACACCAAACCGTAGTTCCAAAATGAACGGGGACCACTGGGTCGCGCAGAGACGTTCACCAGACCGACCGGAGAGCCTAAGGAATCGGACAAAGTCTTCCGAAGGAATCAAAGACTATATTCCGAAGGAATCGGGGACCATCTTATGAGGGAACTGGAGACCGTTGGTATTCATGACAAGATGCCCGCAAAATGGGGCAGATGGTCACAAGTCTTCCTGGGATAACATATATATGTGATTTATATATATATATATATATATATATATATATATATATATATATATATATATATAGATATTAAGAAATGTTAATTCATGGAACGGACTTACATACGTGTAACTTCCTTGATACGGCTGGGACACCTCTGTATGCAATTTATGTGTAGCGATATATTTCACACTAAAAAATTCCCACATGTTTCGATGTTGCGTTTATACTTTGAATAAAAATAGCAATGGACCTTAAAAAACACCACGGGCCTCAAAGCAGTCACGCAAGGACAAACAACCTAACTTGGTGATGCTCCAGTTAAGCCGCACCTTAACGAATTCAACCGGCAAGCATCAAACGATTTGACGGATGTAAATGCGGCAATGTCGAAAGCAATGGTTTTGTTTTTCTTGCAGGGCTGGTCATGCATGTGATTGGTTTGAACCACGCCAGTTGTACATTTATATACGTTGAAGATGTTCAGTGACACATATCGTATTAGTTACAGTTTTGGGCGCCGTCTGCATTTTTGTTTAAGTTCACGAATAAAAGTGAGTAAGCGGCCGTTCGACGTGGCAGCGAAGACAGTTTTTTGCAGCTGTGTGGGCCGAGTTCACGATGATTCGAGCTGTCTGCACGATTATCCGAACTGTTCTAGCATTTGTTTCATCAGATGTTTTTTTTAAAATATCAGCATAGTAAATTCGTCAATTCTTAGTAACTTGGAAAGAAGACTACTTTTTCGTCAAGGACATTGCGCGTCGCTGCGGAGTGCAGTATCACGTAATGGGTCGTTGCGAATGTATGTCCTTGGATGTCTCACGTTCGAGAAATGAGTGAAGAAGGCGTGCCGTCTTATTCAGTGATGCTATATTTTGAGAAGAAGACCAACCAGATATTGCTACTGCTGTACAACACCAAACCATTTCAGCAAACGCTTTGGTACCCCCCCCCCCCCCCCCCCCCACTGGAATTCAACCGTTGCATTGCACACGTTGCATGCAGTGACTCAGTTTCTGTGCAGGGCATCTCGGGCACTCCCTTTAAAATGGTTACGGAATCGTTACGGATGTATGTCCTTGGATATCTCACGTATAAGAAATAAGTAACGGAGGCGTACCGTCATATTCAGTGACACTGTATTTTGAGAATAAGTCCGACCAGATATTGATGCTGCTGTACATCAAACCACTTCAGCAAGCGGTTTACTATCCCTTGGAATTCCAACGTTGCATTGCACACTTTGCAAGCAATGACTCAATTTTTGTACAGGGCATCCCGAACACTCCCTTTAAAATGGTATACTTTATGCATGGGAACAGCACCACTGGCACGGACAGTGTGTTCACCGGCAAAATTGTGTTGCATACAATATGTGCACGAGGGGATCTCCAGAGTCTTATCCACTAGTGACATTCTCTAGTTTTATGCAGCACCTGTAGTGCGTGGTGGTGTGGATATTTAATGACAACCCTGAGGCCGCATAAACCGAATGTTTGCAGCCGGTGATAAAAGGTTCCTTACCTTACCTTACCTTACCTTACCTTACCTTATGGTGATCGGAAATTGTAAAAGGCCACTAGGCCTGTGGGTCCCGGTCTCGTCAGGCTCCCGGTCCGGTAACCAGTCTCAAATTATGGGAAGATTCAGTGTGGGACGCCGCACATGATGTCAGCCAGTGCATATCAAGCCTAGACTTGAACTGTTCAACTGAGGTCAACGACACGACCGGGTGTGGAAGAGCGTTCCAGTCGTTGACAACCCGCGTGCTGAATGAGTTACGACGGACGAGAGCCCTAGCTCGAGGTTTTCTGAGTTTCCATTGGTGTCCTCTCGTCACCTCCGAGTTGTGCCTTGTCAGGAGCTCCTTTTCCGACAGCGTCATACCTCCGTGAAACAGCTGGTACACTGTTACCATGTCTCCCCTGCGACGAAGATAGTACAGCGAGGGCAACTGAAGGAGTCTGAGCCTCTCAGGGTATGGCTGGCTGGCGTATTCCGAATCATGTTTGAGATTTACATCAACATTGAGGAAGAATCAATGTTAACACTGCCTGGGGTCGTATTCAGCAGTTCTTATGCACGTGGTAATGTTGCCGTAAGTATGCTTCTTTATAATGGCACGTGCAGTTGGCATCAATTCTCTAAAATATAAGGGTCCGTATTTGTTAAAACAGTCGAGGCTTAGCAAAGTAGAAGATCTGTGGACTTAGCACCGCTCCCGAGCCGCATATTTAGTTTGCTTGGTGAGGGTGCTTATTATTGCATCTTGCCTATTTGATCTTAAGTGCAGATTTACAAAATTACCCACGGTAGAATTTAAGTAGGTAACCCAATTAGCGTTTGCTCAGGCGTCCATGGCCTTAAAATCTTCCATTCAGGCTGACGCCAATGCTATTTCTTGGCATTCATAACTTGAAGAACAAGGCCCAAAGTGGAAGCCCCAACCCACATTTCGATTTCCACTTCCACTCCCGCCGTCTTCAAACCGTGAGCGACAGCCGTCCCGACGCTGCGCGTGAACCTCCACCCGCGCCGCAAGCCCTGACGTGCGCGCGGCACCGCGCCCAGCAACGCCTCGAGGTCACGACGCTGCATTACCACCGTCTGAAGGTCGCGGTCGGTGCGATCGCCTGATAGAGAACAGTTGGTGAGGTCGCAGATATGGTTGATACTGCGTCAAGCCGGGAGTCGCGGTGGGGATCGCCAGTCGTGCCGCGGCGGCCGCTGGGCAGCGGAGACAGCTCCAGGTCAGTTCCCGTGTGTCAGTTTCATGTCGTGTGACTCCCAGAGAACGCTTGTTGCCATGGTGAGGTCACCGCTATGTTTCTGTCTAAAGGCTCCATACTGTGAAAACAGACGATCGGCGGCAGGATCAGTTTGGGCATTGATCAACGCTGATAGGAACTGCTTGCAGTGTCCATGCGGTACGGACCGAAATCAATGTCCGTAAGGATTTTTGTTTGCATTAAGTGACTGTGCAGAAGTTGTGTCACGCATTTTGTTCACCGTCTTCAATCCCCGACTTTCGAGCTTACACTTCCGTTTGGCCCCTTATTGAGTTAAGCTTGCAAAACAAAACATAAGCGTGTCGCCCGTCGTGCGAACAAGCAGACGACATCCGACCTTACGGCTTCAGGTCTACAGGTGACCTCCCAGGTCAGGTCGACGACACGAAATTCCTCAAACTCGTGAAACAGTTTGCTTTGATGGCGACAAAGCTAAACGCTGGCCGGGTCGAGAGGTCTAACAGAAGCCAAAGGATTGATCAAAGCGTTAGGTACAGAATCTTGCACTTGATTATCATTTACGTGCTAAAAAAGAGGCCGATGAACAACCATGACAGGTTGGAATGACATAACAAACGCCATGCCATCTGGCGGTTAGAAACAGGCCTGGATTAGACGGAGTGGTACAGAAGAGTATTCATATTCCGAGTCAACGTCCAGATTACCTTTGATATAAAACTAGGTAAAACCGTGGCGTTCATTTACCTAGGCAAGGTAACGGACCTGTTGTAAAGCGTAGGTTTGGCCCTTTACACCTAATTTGATCTCAGTTCATGTCTCTACAACGACATTTGCAGTCGTATATTTGTGGGCTTCACACGTCGGGCAACTGATACCTGCAAAGGCTCAGAAGTGACGTCACAGGTCACTGAACTAACTTAGCCCGAACTCCTTTCTCCTACTGATTGGCCAACGCTACCACATGAGGTTTGAGAAGAAACTTGTTACCTCGCACCTCCACCCCACTTATGCTGGCTGCTAATGAGTCTGCAGTTGCTCCTGTTTCTCTTGATAACGCTGTTTCTTTTTGCTCGTTTCCGACATATCGGAACGTGTATTCATTAGAGGAGTCGGGCAGTGGAACACCGGTAATTTGTCTGCGAGGTAGAAACGCTCCCGGATCGGTAAGCAGGGTGGCATGGAAAGAATATGAATGCTTATTTAGTGGGAGAATATCCACTGTCCCGGTTTTCTGATCATGGACAAGACGATTTGCAGACACGTGATTCCCCTCGAAGTATTGGCTTCCAACACCCAGCTTACATAAATTACAGAGAGGCCATGGGCATGGCTTTCAAGTGACGACAACAAATTCCTACATTACATGTGAGCGCCGAGTCGCGACCGCCGACAACCACGTCGCACGTCGATGCTTAAATGTATTGGTTATCGTACCGCGAAGTCAAATCGTTAGATCTAGACTGAGCATATAGGGCACGGCAACTCACAGGCAGATGGTCGAACCATCTCATCCATCCAAAACATTAGAACATAACCCACGAAGGTTGCCGTCGTGGCGCGTTACATGACTCCCTCAAGCCCTATCACCTGTTAATTGTTAAGTGTCCCTCCCCACAGCATGCAGTCGGCTCGTCCGCCGTCAACCTCGGCCGAGCCGTCCTCGGCGTCATCGATGACGTCACTGGAGGAGCGGGCCACGTCCAGCTGGTCGGACGTCGTCGGCACCGGCTCGGCCGTCTCCTGCGACGTGGTCGTCATCGGCGCAGGCATCGCCGGCCTCACGGCCGCCCACGAGATCCTGAAGCGTGACCCGACCGTCGATCTCTGCGTGCTGGAGGCCAAAGGTCAGTCACGCGGCGATGACCTCCCGCGCGGTTGTCGGGCTGCCGTTGTTGGTGCGGGTCACCGGTCTAATGGCCCGGTGTGGCAGATGAGAGACGCCCGGGCTTAAAGAGATTGGACCTGTCAAAATAGTTTTCCAGCTTTATCTTTCCTCAAGCGGGCCCCCTCCCCGCGTCCCGCGTCCCCCTCCGAAAAATATTGCAACGAGCAGTTGTTCAACCCCGACAGATTGCGAACGTCCGGATCATGATACTTTTGCACGTTGTCTTCAATCAAGACACTGGGGACTTAAACACGACTTTAGCAACTTAATACTGTATGGTGCTCGTCCCCCATTGAGCCCGCACTAGAATTAGAACTGAGCGAGGAGCGCACGTAATACTTTTCCAGAAACCCGATTTTCGGTCGAGCCAATACTGTGAAAAGCGTGGCGGCCTCTAAACAAATGGCATGCACTACAACCGTTGATTCGGAATGTGCCAATACACTGTCGGTCGGAACACTGAGACGCAAGCGGACCATGCCCGCTGCTTTCGTAAGGTTGGCGAGGTCACTGAACGCATGTATGGTGCGCGCTGGCCGCGGAAACCGCTTATATTGGAGACAGAGGTCGTATGCGGTTAATCAGTGTGTGCCGGCGTTAGAGGGCAGTTCAGTGGTTCATCGCGGTCTCCTGTATACTGAAGACAGATTGATGGAACTAAATGATTGGGGTGGAGGCGAAAGCGTGATCAGTAAAAGGATTAATGGGTAGTATTTGCTTGATTTCCTAGAGCGAAAGGCTGGATTAGTCGGCTTCACTCGACCCCACTGCTTGCTGAGCTAGTGATGAAAATGCGGAATCTCACGAATCGACCGCGGAAAACCCCGCCCCTCGCGTCTGAGGAGTATCCCAGAGTTCCCGGGGCATCGAAGCTGAGAAGCGGACGCTGGACGCAGCGCTGGAGCCAGCTGTGCAGCTGATGACCCTGCTTCAGATCGAGTGGGTGGACGGACATTCAGCACTGAGATGCGCGTGAGGGATGGCAAGACGGAAACGTTCGACCTGGGCGGCCAGTGGGTCGGCACCGTGCAGACCGACATCATGGAGACGTTGACTGAGCTCGGCCTCGAAGTGTACCCCCAATACATCAAGGTACAGAGAATGTGCGCGTGCGTGAGTGAGTGCGTACGTGTGCGCGTGCGGTCGCACGCGCACGTGCAAGCATGTGCGTGTGTGTGCTCGGGGAGTGAGTGGTCAACCGGGCTGATTATTGTGAGGCGATGATGACGCAGCAAGGTCTGCCAAGTGATGGATAAACAACGTGTCACAACTATTATGGGATTATTGCTGCTATAAGATGGTTCAAGCCGCCGTGGCCACCATTTAGTCAGGGATCGAACCAGTGCCGTCGCATCCATCAGACAACGGGGTTAAACTACGAGGTGTTGAAGATTTCTTCCTGCAGCCCCAGTACCTTTATTGATTTGATGGATAACTGCCAGGCCCTTGGACAGTAGCATTCCAACTCCCACAGCGTCGACGTCATTTATCTAGTGATTGTGCCCGCCTTCTCTGCGCAATTGCGAGACCTGCACCACTTACTGCGTCCCCACCCAACAGGGCACCAAGTACATGCAGCTGGGAGGGGAGCGGATCCGAACGTACCGCAGCACCATACCCAACCTGGGCTCGTGGTGGGGCCTCGTCCAGCTCCAGCTCTTCATCTGGAAGGTGAGGCCTCAGTGTTGCCGTGTACCATGTATTCCGTGTTTCTGGAACCGGTCTGGGTTGTGCTAGGTCTGGTCTCTGCATGCTTGAACCTCGGACATGAACTGCGTATGTCGAGAACATTGTATCCTCCATAGTGTTTGCAGGAAAAACGTCTAGCAGTCGTGTGCCATTTGATAGTTGAGACCTGCTTCTGGGTTAGGGCACGGTGGTTTTTCAATTCTCTCACATATGTAATGACGCTGTGCAGTCTTCGTACCGCACACTCTCTGTACATCAAGCCCAGTTTCGCACAAGTCATTTTATGCCACAAACGCTCATTACGCACGACCGCAAAAAACGTCAGGCGTGGAGAAGTGAACCCTTGGGAAGTGCCCAAATTCGGCCTCATTGATAGTCGTGCTTGGTCGCATGTACTCAGCGCGCTTCCGTAAGCCTCGTTGGGCTGCTCTGCATCCTCCTAACGTTGAATACCCCCCCCCCCCCGGCCCAAGCCTCGGATCTTGTTACCTGTGACGTCTCGGCGCCGCGTGACTCGTTCCCTCCCTCCCTGGTGCTCCTCAGGTGGACCGGCTGGCCCGCCGCTGCTCCCCTCTGAGTCCGTGCCGCGACAAGACCATCAGCAAGCTGGACGGCCACACCGCCGACTCGTTCGCTCGAAGCCACATCAGCAATGAAGCTGCCCTCGAGGCCATTGATTCGGCCTGTAAGGTCATCTTTGGTGAGTCAAGGTCATATAGGCTGGATGTGGAGGGATGAGCTACGGTTGGGTCGGGTTTGCTTCGGTTCGGTGCTGCAGTTTTAATTTTTGGTGGCGTCTGCGTAGTTCTCTTCGCGGCGACGTGCTCGTAACCAAACTATCTTGTCTGAAACAGAGAGGTTACTTTGGCTGAGTGTGGTTCGCATGCTACTGCCCTTCTTGGGTGTCCAAGCCTTCAGTAATTTCAAATTGTGGTATCATGTCCGTGGAAACTCACGAAATAAGTGAGTTAAGGTATCAAAAATGATTGTTGCAGTCTCCCCATGCCTTTTGACGACGGGGGGGGGGGGGGAAGTAAAGCACATGGCCTGAAACAACCTAGGCTGTTATCATCATGCCAAAAGCTAACAGCCATGAGCAAAGAGGCAGTTTTGTATTCGGTGGGGAAAGAGGGTCACAGGTCCCCATCCCCAGCTTTGAGAATCCGGGGAGAAACCCGTTTCCTGTCATTTTCAGGACAGGTTTAACCATTCTTCCCTGCTTCACCTGTCGACGAGCTTTCCCAAACTGCACCTCTGGCTATCTGGGTGGGAGGGGCGACAATCCTCACCTCATCTGGCCTGACCTGACCCATGTCGTGGTCGGTCTGAACCATGGTCACTGGTCTGAGCACGAGGGATCAACCGTCTGTGCCATGGCTCGCGGCAGGCTGCGACTCCACCCGGGTCAGTCTGCTGCACTTCCTAGTGGACGTGCACGCCGCCGGCGGTCTGACCCCGCTCCTCGAGGCGACCCCGGGGTCAGCTCAGGAGTTCAAGGTCAAGGTGAGTCGGCGCGCAGAGGTGGCGGCCTCTTTGAACCGCAGCGGGTGAAATGACGGAACAGTGCGATGTGGAGGGAGATGGCGAGGCCGCACGTTCCGTCTGGGACGAGTGGTGCTGGGGCTGGGGACAAGGACCTTATTTCCGGAACGACCCATTGACTGCCGAAAGGCACGACATGGCACCGACAGCCGTCGAGTTCTTGGCTGTCGGCATGTGGGAGCGATGTCTGGACCGCCGTAGAGTGCTTTGGTTTTTACGATAGTGGGTCTGACTGCATGTTTGCTTAGCGTTAACGAATGGCCTCCGATCCATTAGCATGTGGACGAGTGCCCTTGTCATGTCCGTGTCGCTGGAGTGCTGAACGGTCACATAATGTAGCGGGCGGAGTAGCGCGATCGCATTGTGTGAGAAAACTCCCGACTGCATTTGTATTGTGTTCAAACTTGCTGTCGTTGGTGTCATGAACAACTTATTTCGTGCAGCTCCTTGCAGGCAATGCAAGGCTAGTGAGGGGTTTTAAGACCATTTCTGAGTGATAGTGAAAACGACGACATCCTTATAAAGCACGACTGTGGGCGCCCACACATTGTATTCAAACAACTGTTACGTGCGTCTGCTACAAAAAAGTAACCACAGACGCAGTTTAATCAACCACACTCGTCCATTTGCATACGCTACATACACGCAACCACAACGAAAATGGCGGGAGCGCTGGGAGCTAACCTTACCTAACCGAACCATCCCTTCGCGAGGCGGCTGCCTCGAAGGGGATGGCAGCCAGATTTAAAGCAGACACGTCTTCTTCTAAAAAACGTAGTCTCAGCAATTTCGACGACATCTGCTATTTTTCCTCTATTGCGAAGGTCGTGCAGCTGACTAGCTCACGAGCGCACGCACAAACGTACCTCGTGCCTAAGCACACCTCGCACCTAGCAGCACCCAGCGGAGCCGAGCCCGTTGCTGAGTGCTGCCGGCTGGCGTGACGCGATCCTGTGGGGCGCGCAGGGCGGCACGCAGCAGATATCGAAGCTGCTGGCGGCGCGCGTTGGGGAGCAGCGTCTGCTGCTGCGAGAGCCGGTCACCAGAATCAGTCAGGAGGACGGCACCGTCACCGTCACCACCGGCACCGGCAGGACCTTCCACTGTGAGTACCGCCGTGTCCTCGATTGTTCACCTTTGCTGTCAGTGTGTCATTCACTTCTGAAAGCTGTAATTAAGAAATTCGTAACATTTGTGGGTCGGTGTGCTCTAGGATAATATGGACAATCGATTTAGTGGGGCTGGCATCGCAGAGCGACAAGGATCTATTCGCCTTAGCCGTAGGCAGCGGCTATTTTCGCTGCTATTTTCGATTGCACGGTTTGCTCATGTATTTTCCCCGTTCCTTCAGCTGGTGTCACAAAGCACACTACTAACTTTCTTTTACAGGAATTATCCAGTCACTGCGGCTCATCCTGTTCCGTCTCTAATTTGTGCGTGCGTGATGTTTATGTGTTACCTTTGGGGCAATCACAAAGAGCAAAATTCAACCAGAGGAAGTATGAAAATGCATTTGTAACTTAATATTGTCAAAAATCGATGAGCTAGTAATGTTTTGAGAAAGACTATCGTAATCACGTAATAAATCACATAATATATCGTTTAACATCTGTCTGCCAATCATGTTCTGCCGTTTGAATATTCTGACCAATGGCAGTACTATAGCATGAAGTGTTTCGATCAATACCTGAACGGTGGTTACCCGGCAAGTATGTTGCGTTACGGTGTTGTCTGCGGCGTTTCACAACGTCACGGCGTGTTTCCACGGCCCATAACGTCATTCATAATCACCGAAGGTACCCAAAATGATATTGATCCTGGACTAACTAGCCGAGCCCGATCTCAGGACTTTGAACGTTCTTGGCTGTCGTCATAGGGCCAGTGCCAATGCGTTCTGTGCCAAACAATCTGTGTATCCCAGTTCAGCCCCTTATATGACTGATGAGTCAGTTCCCGCACCATCCCAAAGCTTTAGACGCAATGTTTACCGTATTCGCTGTCTGTCGAGCACTGAACATCACTCGCATCACCGCGTCTATCCAGGTGAATACGTTATCTCGTCAATGCCGCCAAATCAGCTGATCAACGTGGAGTTCCGGCCGCCCCTCTCTCCGGACAAACAGCAGATCCTGAGGGGCATGCCCATAGGACACCTCATCAAGTTCGTCGTCACATTTGAGGAGGTCAGTGATGCTGCTGGTGAAAATCAGCTGTGTGCACATGTCTACAGCAGCGCAGCTTCGATTGTGGCGTGGTTAAATAATCGTAATTTGCGGTGGTAACGGACCTTAAAAGGTAACATGCCAACTAAATGAATTAAACATTTCCCATGTATGAGGTATCATTTTCACCATGATTTACCCTGTTCTGTCAAATGACACGTATTACAGGCTAACCATAAAACGTTACGCGTGGCGTAAAGGAAGCATAAAGAGCGTGCTGCCGAAATATATGCTGTGTTAACAAAAACAAAACAAAACAAAACAAAAACTGCGGCAGTGGAATGGCGACCGCTTGAGCGGCGCTCCGACTGCCACAGCCGTTCTGGGGGAGCGCCGGTTTCTCCGGGGAGGTGGTCACCGGCGGCGGCGCGGCGCTGGTGGACGGCTGCCGGTCGGGCCCACTCTGCATCGTGTACGACGCCACATCCAGCACGGGCAGCGCCGCTCTCGTCGGCTTCATCGCCGGCAGCGCCAGCGTCGACTGGCAGAAGAAGACGGTGGGTGCGGCGCAGCACGAGGCGGCAGGTGGTGGGTGCGGACGCCCGGGGCGAGAGGCGGTGGGTTTTCCGTTCGGTCCGGACCGAGGACGACAGGCTGATCTGTCGGCCCGTGGTGGGTTTTCCGTTCGGTCCGGACAGAGGACGACAGGCTGATCTGTCGGCCCGAGGTGGGTTTTCCGTCGGGTCCGGACCGAGGATGACAGGCTGATCTGTCCGCCCGTGGTGGGTTTTCCGTCCGGTCCGAACAAAGGAGAGCAGGCTGGTCTGTCCACCGCGGTGGGTTTTCCGTCCGGTCCGGACAAAGGAGGACAGGCTGGTCTGTCCACCGCGGTGGGTTTTCCGTCGGGTCCGGACCGAGGACGATAGGCTGACTTCTCGGCCCGCGACGGAAGACGTTAGGTCCTGCTGTCGTTTCTTAGCGGAGCGACGACAGGTACCGCTGTCCGATGTTCACTACTACTTAAGTTACGGTTTGATTCAGTTAACTTCGCTTACCAATGACAAGATGATCAGGAAACGTACTGCCCCTCCCCTTAACGGCTCAACCTCGTTATTGATCAAGAATGCATGTTTGTCAAGGCGGTTCACTCGTAGCCACGAGTCCGTGGTTGTTTTCGGCAACTGATCGCATGTCTGCATGAAGAATACGACTTCTTTCTTTTCTTCAGAAGTCGGATCGGGAGCAGGCGGTTGTGACGAGTCTGGCGCAGTTCTTCGGTAATGACGTGAAACGCTACATTGAATACCAGGAAAAAGTGAGATTGATGTCGAGATGCCGCAGCGAGCATCTTAAAGACCTTGGTTTGCAAAATAGACTTACATATCATTATATATATATATATATATATATATATATATATATATATACACATTGTTTCCTGACAAATGTATTACTTGTATCGTAGTGTTACTACGCCGTTGAATAATGGCAGGGCAGTGCACGGCAGTGTCAGGTTCATTGACGCACATGTGCCATTTGGTTATTTGAATAGTGCTTTTCCGCATTGTGGTTCATGAAATTAGCGTGCGTCCCATAAACTAGAGGTTAATAACACCTGGACGAATGTCCCAGGTCCGGGTCTGGCCATTTTTTCGTGTCGTGAAGCGACAGACATCAGCTTATGGTGTCATAAGTATTTCACTCATTTTGTTGCACAATCAAGTGGACGGTGCCATGCACAAATGCATGAGCTGCGTCGTGCTCGCTTCTGTCCGCTTCGCCGGTTTGTATAAAACCCTACCTTAAAGTGTCTTCGGCAGTGTTGTGTTTCTGACATGCATGGTAGTGCACCTAACCTCTTTACCTTAACATGATACGCGCATGACAGTACTTTCTCTTTGCTTTTCCTTGAGCTCGGCTTCACCTACTCGCACCGCCTCCAACGATGCATGCTATTTTTCCCGGAGCGCACTTCCTGGATAAGGCCTAACTGTAGAATCCCATATGATATGGCTCTTCTCTGTGTGGTCCGAGACTGTCCTGCGTCGTTGGTTTTGCCTACGAGGTCTCCTTTCTGTCCTGTCCTTTCTGGTCTCTCGCATGATCAGGTATCGGACTCATGTGGTCCGTGGCCTGTCTGTTCTAACTTCCCACAGTCTGTGGTCTGTGCTGATCTCTCTGTCACGTAACAGGGCGCGGTCTGGTGACAGGGAAGCCGACCGAGATATGGTCTTTGGTTTGTGCTGACCTCCCATGAGCTGTGGTCTGTCCTGACATGCCATGGTCGGTGTTCTGTGCTGACCCCCATGGTCCTGTGGTCTGTCCGGACCCCCCATGGTCTATGGTCTGTGCTGACCTCTCATAGTCTGTGGTCTGTGCTGACCCACATTGTCTGTGGTCTGTTCGGACCCCTATGGTCTGGGGTCTGTGCTGACCCCCAAAGTCTGTGGTCTGTGCTGACCCCCATGATATGTGGTCTGCGCTGACCTCCCATGGCCTGTGGTCTGTGCTGACCCCCCCCATGGTCTGTGGTCTGTACTGATCTCCCATGGTCTGTGGTCTGTGCTGACCTCCCATGGTCTGTGGTCTGTGGTGACCTGGCCGTCACGTGTCACAGGTGTGGGCTGAGGAGCCGTACGTCGGCGGGTGTCCCGTGTGCTTCGCCGTCCCCGGCGTGATGCGCACCTACTCGGCGCTGCGGCAGCCCCACGGAAAGTAAGTGGCGACCGCAGGGGAGGTGATCCCAGTCCATGGACGCTTCACGGGGGGCGCAGTCCATTCACGGGGAATCTGTTGGGATCGACCATAGACACGGCGGTCAACCGGCAGCTGGCCAGGGAGGAACAGCTCGGCTCAGCGCAGCCAGGGCGTGGCGTTTCGGGGCACGGGAGTATCTCTGCGTGATCGCGCCTGCCAAAAAGACCATGGAAAATTTTTCTTTTGGACTGAAGTGACACTGACTGGGCGCTTTGTTGGGTGTACGAGGAATAATTTATTTCATGCGTTCTTTGATCTCATTGTCACTGTGTACAGCATTTTGAGGAAAAATGATGCTTCAAAAGGGGAGAGCGACCGAAGTTCTAGCCCACGGGCAGGTGGTAGGGGCGGCACGAAGAACGGGAAAGGGCTGGAGAAGAAAACCGAACAAGAACTACAGCCATGCGCGATGAAATTCACGTGCCAATCCGCCCGTGTGTGAAAATTTGTCCTGTTCTTATGTCACTACGTAAAGAGCTACTGGCTGCGGCGATGTTTTCACAAGGTTTTACGGCGTATGTAGTGTCAAGACACCATGGCGTACGAACGGTAACGCGTGGACATATAGGAAAATGGTCAGTGTCATTGCAGATAGGCTTCATCATTCTCCGAGACGTACACAAAGGCATAATAAAATCGCGTCGTTTTTAATTGGCTGCCGGCTGAGCCGTCTCTCCTCATTAACAGCGTGTATTTCTGCGGTACGGAGCTGGCGACGCGGTGGGTCGGCTTCATGAGCGGAGCTGTGCAGACCGGCCGAGAGATGGCAGCAGAGGTGCTGCACGTCATGCGGCCCGGCTGCCTCAGCGTCGCTGACCTGCACCTCATCAACAGACGGTAATGGCCCGCGGCACGCCCGTCGACTGTTCAGAAGCGGCCGAGCTGCCGCTTTATGATGAGGAAGTTCGAAGTAATGGCGTTGGTGACGACAGGCGTCCGACAGTGTGCTGGCACGAGTGGGGACGGGAAGAAAGGAGGGAGACGCTCGGGCTGTTTTTCTATTGAGTTCACCTGAAACGAGCAGCCTTAGTGGGCGGACAAATGTCAATGGCGTCACGCCACCGGCACGGCTCCATAGTTGATGAGCGGTGCGTGCGGGGGCCAAACCCTGGACATGGTCTGCTTTCACGGCAGCCAGTTGCCAACTGGACAGAGAGGCCCCGGTCCCGCCCCGGTCCCGGTCTAGAGCGCTCGCTGAGCTCCGCGCTGCAGTCTGGTGTCAGCTGCCAACTGGACAGAGAGGCCCCGGTCCCGCCCCGGTCCCGGTCGAGTGCTCGCCGAGCTCTGCGCTGCAGCCCGGTGTCAGCTGCCAACTGGACAGAGACCCCGGTCCCGTCCCGGTCCTGGTCGAGTGCTCGCCGAGCTCCGCGCTGCAGTCCGGTGTCAGCTGCCAACTGGACAGAGAGGCCCCGGTCCCGTCCCGGTCCCGGTCGAGCGCCCGCTGAACTCCCTGCTGCAGTCCGGTGTCAGCTGCCAACTGGACGGAGAGGCCCCGGTCCCGCCCCGGTCCCGGTCGGGCGCTCGCCGAGCTCTGCGCCGCAGCCCGGTGTCAGTTGCCAACTGGACAGAGAGGCCCCGGTCCCGCCCCGGTCCCGGTCGGGCGCTCGCCGAGCTCTGCGCCGCAGTTCGGTGCCACAGGCGGTGTAGCGTCTGGGAGATATCGGCTGAGCGTCTGCTTCGCTGATTGATCCAGAATTAATGCCTCTCCGATCTCGAGTTGAACAACGGTCCGAACGAGCCGGAAAAGCTCCAGAAAAGTCCACGACCCTCGAAGCGATGATCTCTTTGTGGGCTGATCCCTCCCTCCCCTCCCCATAACCCCACCATGGACACGATGTATGACTTTCTGCCACAAACTGTCATGGGCCGTCAGCCTCCGGTTAGCAGAGCTCGAGTCTCGAGTCCTCAGTCTCGATCTCGATCTCGGCCTTGAGGCTTTAGCGGAGCCCAAAACTGCCAGTCCTCTCGCTCACGGTCTGCCAGTCCCCTCGCCCACAGTTTGTCAGTCTTCTCACTCACAGTCTGCCAGTCCTCTAGCTCACAGTCCACCGGTCTTCTCAATCACATTCGACCAGTCCCCACGATCACGGTCTGTCACCAGCGTGCTGCGGGCAGCTGCTCCCGTTGATTTGGCAGGGCTACGGTACTCAACTAAAACCCGGTGTTCATCGAGCTTATCCTGACTGTAGTCAGACTCTTCTCACGACCAAACAGTACTTGCCAATGGCTGGAGGAAATCAGTCCGAAACGTTGTGGATAAATTAATATCTCTGATCAGGACAATGGTGCGAATGATCATTGCATGTGGCTTATCCTGAGTTCATTAGGCCAGCTCAAAACAGACGGCCTTGTCAGCGTAATTGCAATTGTCGTCTCAGCTGTCTGCTAAGGATCGCCCTATGTCTCATCCTTGCCGTGATTGAAAAAAACAGAAAATATATAAGGAAGGAGCTTGATTTTAACCAGCTTGTCGGCGGTGGAGGGTTGGGCAGCCGTATTCTGCTGGTCTTAATTACTTTGATGTATAGCACTTCCTCGGGACGTACAGATGCTGATGACAGTTTGCTGTACGTGTGCCATATGTTTACAGGTCCTCCAAGTAAGAATATGGTCGAATACCAGCCGAAATCAGCTTGGTGCGGTAAATCATTTCAAATGTTCGGTGTGCTTGGTGTGTTTGTCACATCTAACGCCGGGGCCAATCATGTCCAGCTTTCCATCAATGTTCGCAGATGTACAATAAACACAAAAGGTAGCATTAAGCCCCACTTAATGATAAGTTCCATGTGACAAAAACTCTTGCAAGGTCATGTCGGTTTTATAGGAGTTTAGATGCAGCGTCTGGAGAAGCCGACAAGTTTAAAGGCAGATCCAGTTCGTTATTGGGGCCTCGACCATTTTATTTTTTCATTCGTTAAGTTTGGTCCCCATGCTCTCGGCTTTAAAAAAGTGTCCCACTGTTTTGCTCATCAGGCAAACAATTGCAAGAGTTCCGATGCGTAACGAACACCATTGCCTGAAGTAATAGGCGGCACCTAAGCGGCCTCCATGGTTCCCCCGCCACTGACTAATTAGCGAGCCGCGCAGTGTAGGTATATAGAGCAGCAAACACGAAACAATTCCAGATGAAAGTCAGCTCTTAATTTCGATTCCCGAAGCCTCGTTATCAAGATCGCCTGAGCAAATCAGCAAATTCTACAGCGGTGGAGGCGTCAGCCCCGTCTGTGTCCACTCAGTATACATCAACAGCAACACAGATGAAGCGGCGTTGTGGGACACGGTGCTGTCGGCGTCCTGGTCTGCCCTGTCCGTCTTCGGGTCGCATTGTGCCAGTCTCACCACCAGCACACACCTGCCACCGACCTGGTGTCCGTCCTTGTGTTGGCTTGGTAGCGAGTTCCTTCCCAGCGTGAGCTCTATTTGCAGGGCGGTCCAGCGTCGCCGACAGCGAGAAAAGCTTATGTTCGGGTCGTGTTTGTTCCGTGGCTGTGCAACTGTATTGTGCGACGCCGCCCATCAACGCTAGACGGCTAAATAGAGCCCTGCACCGTGCAACGCGGGCCGTGTAGATCGTAGCCCGACGCAGAGGGTGTGGCGCGTCCTTGTTGTGTCTTGGGTTAGGTTCTCGACGTGCTTTGCGTGTAGGCGTTGTCCTGATGCACTGCTGCCGGTGAATGCGGTGTGGAAAGTCGCGACGTGTGGTCCGGTCCACCGTCCACCATCCACCGGCTACCGTCCACCGTCCGGTTACGTGGAGTTTGCAACGGATCTGAACATTCAGGCAACGTAACGTGACGCCGTCCTTTTTGAATGCAGATATGTAACATTTGTGTCCAGTGTAGGGGTCATTTGATCATTGCATTGCCGTAAATTTGTCATATCACTTTCGATACATTTGCCCATGTTTCACCAAGGTTGGCACTACAAAGAACGACCGCTTGTGTACGGGGCAGATGTGCCATAGTAATTATTTTGCGGGTTTGATAAAATTTGATAAGTTTAGAAAAAGCCTAAGGACTCGGAAGTTTAATACATTTAGCGCATTTGGCGTGCTCAGCAGTTATCTACGTCGATTATTTGCGATGGGTTTCGATGTCTTCACACATAGGTCTATGTGTCAGATCGTGCGGTGCATAAATTAAGCAAGCAAAGTCTTGAGCTCTCGGTTATGCGATATTATGAGTTCAGAGTCCTTATGCTGACAGGTATTGATCTGCAGTTTATAGGTAAGTGTCGGTTAAACAGGGGTTATCAAGCGAGCGTGGATTATATTGTCAACATACTCAGTATGTTGCCAATACACAGTCACTTAACGAGCACCACGTAGCATGCTGAAGGTCGATAACTGTCTGCATAAAGCTGTGAAATTGTGATACTCAGCTCGTATCATCATATTGCAAATCGCCTGTTAAGCTCTAACTCCCACGGTTCGATTTTAACTGTGGCGGGAGTGTACGTAGAACATGAAGCACACCATTCGACAAATGAGCAGTCTGTGATTTCAAACGTCGCTTTGGCTATAAAATCTGTGCGGCCGCTTTTCCTATATTCCTGTTGTGTTAACTTCTGTCATGTTCGTTTGCCAGTCTGTTGTCCTCATTCCACGCGTTTTGATAATTTTACGGTCGTGTCCCATGCGTTTTTTTATCTCAGATTTTCGCCAGCATCTTCTGTATACAATAGCATGGCTCCGCTAGAAATATTTCGATCAAGTTTCAACCAACCATGCCGTGGGCTTCCTTCCATAAGGCCCAAACTGACTTACTACCACCGATGTCGCCGCCTGCAGCGGCCCGTCCATCTAAAAAAAAATATTTCTGGTCAAAGCACGGCATGATCATACACATACTACTGAATGATAAGTCGCGAGCGAATAAAATGAGTCGAGCTGTTCGACCTTGTCAAACATTTTACTCATCGCAGCTTGCAAAACTCATCGCACATTCTACTCATCGTTCGAATGCCATACATATGTCATGCATATGTACCTTGTCATACAGGTGCAAAATGCTCGCGAGGTCATTGTTACGTGAAACGCAATTGGCTGTCCGGTTCCTCACGGTGGATTGCTGGCTGTAACATCTGTCCATGACCTCTCAAACACGATGGCGTGTCGAAGCCTGTGCTGATCCCTGACCTATGCTATGAGTTTCCGCCTTTGGTCACATTTCAAAGTGGCACGTGAGGAATGTGTGGAAACGGCACATTTGATGCTGCTGGTGAGTGTACACTGGGGTTGCCCCCTTTGAGATTCTGAAAACCCGACCCATCCCGCCGATCAGCCCTAATCTGAAAACTCGCCTTGGCGTGTGATGAGGTTTTCATGAAATAGGCCCGATTAAAGCGAGGAGCCTAATTGTTCACTGTGTGCACAAACTAGCGCATGTCACATTAAAGAATCTCTAATAGTAGTACAACGTGGCCAGCCAGAAAAGTAGTCAGCAGCAAAGCTATGCATGGCTTATCCATACACCAAACATATGTATTTCAAAACCAATCTTTCGTCAGGTACAAGGCTACACCTTAGCACATGGATCATCGTTCCCTGCATGTGTGCCGTTCAAAGACAAAATACGCAAAGGCCTACCAAAACACGAGTTTTTGCCAGCAACACCCGTTAAAAGTTATGTGAGCTTTTTAGCTGTGCTTTGCGTGACTGCGGGCTTAATGGCTCACAACGTCAGAGTTAGCTCAGCTTGGGCTTGAGGTTGAATGAAAAAAAGACTGTGAGAAAGGTTGAGAAAAAGCAAACATTCCAGGATGCGAAATGAGTTACAACCACCGTGACGTCTGCTTGTCTGGCAAGGCTAGTTGCTAGAACAACGTTTTTTATTATTTAATAATTTAAAGCCGTCTTTCCGGCCGTTATTCTAGAAAATATACCGATCCTGAAGCCTGCAGAAGATGGCGAGTTTTCGAGCTGTTTGTAGGTCGTGAGAGCCGAATACAGCGTTAAATGTCACGTGAGATTTTTAGCCGCGCAGGTCGTCTCGCAAAGCACGGCCTTGCAGCCTAAGAGTCCCATTTGAGCCTTATGGAAGACGTTCAGCGAAGACGTTGCGGTTAAGTTATGAATTGCAGTTTTGCAGCTTTTTGTAGCCATAAGTCAGACGGTTAGTGCTGCCCGGGCCTTTGATAACAACTCAAGCATAGCAAGACGGTGAAATAAGCAAAGTCCAATGCGGTGAAGACTGGCAAGTAAATCAGTTATTTTTGTCATTTCAGAAAGCAAACCAATATTTTCACAAGAGTGCAGAGTTAAGATTATTGAGCTCTCTCAATGCATCTTTCCGAGTATGTGTCTCGCGATCATTTTATATCACCTACTGCATCCAACGACACGTGCGCAATTGAGAACCAGCCGAGGTACAAACTGAGGGCGAACCGGGGGAAGGGAGGGGAGGGGAGGGGAGGGGGACAGCGCGTGGTCGTGTGTAGCTCTTCTGCGCGCGGCCCCGATTGCCGGCTGCGTACCGAACCAGAGCGTCCTGCGTCGGCTGCTGCTGCCGCCGCCGACGTCCGGCGCAGCGCGGCGGCGGCGCCCCGACCGTGGCACAGCGCGGGCAGGCACGGGCCGGCTTGTTGTCCGTGCCGACCGGCGCCGGCTGTCGGCGGCCCGGTGCGGCGATCAATGGCCCCGCCGGCCGGGCGCGTCCTGGCCCCGCTGGACAGGCTGCCGTCGTCCTCCTGGACTGTCCATCACGTGGTCGGGCTGGCTGCCGGCAAACCGACGGGCCGGCCGGCAACCGGGTTATGGTGTCAAGGTCAGCTGCGGCGCGGCGGCGAGCGTGGCGCGCAGCGGCGAAGCACACAGGTGGCGGCTTTTTATTGGGCCTGTGGTGGTGATAGGTCAAGTGATTTGTGGCCGCATTGGCGCTGAGTTGATTGGTACAGGAAAGGCCGTGGCGAGATTAGATCGTTAGTGCGCAGGCGTTGCTGGTCGAATGCGGGAAATTGGCTGACACGTAGCTGACCTGTCAGCGACAATGTCACCACTTAACGATGTGAATGCCATGTTGGGCCGTACCGGAATAACACTTCTAGCGTGGTTGTACATAACTGGGAGCTCAGAACACGCACATGTTAAAGTTATATATGCGTAATGGTTTTTCTTTCAACTCTAAAACAAGGCTGTGTTATCAAGTACACTTGGTGACTGTACTTGCGCCTCTGCTATTGACTGACACGCATACTCACACACGAAGAACACACGCGCATCGACTCCAACACGATCGTTCCTTATCACCTTGGGTCAGTTTAGCCTGCCGTTCGCCCCGCCTGACCTGAGTCTCCCTGCCGGCCTGGTGTCTGCCCGTCCCTCCCGTCACGCCCCGCCTGACCTGAGTCTCCCTGCCGGCTTGGTGTCTGCCCGTCCCTCCCGTGTCGCCCCGCCAGCGCCCGTCAGCCGCCTGGCGCCGTGTTCCAGACGGGCGGACGTGCAGAGCCGGCTCCGGCTGGCCGTCGAGGACGACGCCGGAGACTGGATGTGGCGGGCGGCCGCCGTCACCGGCGTCGCCGTCCTCCTCGTCTGGGTCGGCAGGCGCTGCCTGGAGGGCGTGCTCTGCTAGGCGGCCGGCGCCCGGACGATGTGGAAGGTGATGTGTGAGCTGGCGTGCCGCGTGTCAGCGGCACGCCTAGCGGATGCACTGCCTGGAAGGCGTGTTCTGCTAGGCGGCCGGCGCTCGGACAAGCGGAAGATGATGCTGTGTGAGCTGGTATGCCGCGTGTTAGCACGATGTACGTGTGTAGCCTGAGTGAAGCGTGACTAAGTGCCGTGAAGTGAAGCGCAAAATAGGCCGTGGATTAGGTCGTCGCCACGGAAGTTTGCGCGCTTGCTAGATGCTGCCAACTCGCAAAGTTTTGTAACGGTTCGAATGCACGAGTGTGATTTCTTCGCAATGTATTCTGTCGTCTGGAAATTGTTACAGTGTTCTGTTTGATGTGTTGCCGAGGAGGTACAAATGAGCCTGTGTTTGTGCCAAGCAAGTAATACATATTCATGGCTAGAGCTTCGATTCAGGGACACGGTACAACGTATCAGCTTCGTCTCGGGCTTTGGAATGCAGGCGTTTGATGATACTGCAATTGATAGTGCACCCGGGCACCAGCTCATCAGTGTCAATTGCCAGCATCAAGAATGCATTTCAAATGTCCACCCCATACCGACCATGTACTAGAACGGAAATGGTACGGCCAATCACGAGAACACAAATTTCGCGCCATTCCATCGCAAACCGCCCATTCGAATATTTCTCAAAACCACGGATCCACGCTGAGCCAACTCACGAACGCCAATGATATCACCCGCCAAACCGGCACATACTTCCGTGCAGCACAAATACGAGAATGTTCCCAGGGTCCGTTTAACGGATCACTTGCGAAAGGCGTCCCATTGCTTGGCCGGAAAGGCAACCGGCCATATTGATTGTGGCCAACCGCCTTACGTGCAGAACCGACGCGCTCGCGGAAAGCCTACCTAGACCAGCGGCGGAGTCAGCGGAACGACGAAAGGGAGACAAGCACCTGCGAAGCAAACGTCGCTTTGACGTCCTGGCGTGAGCTTCGAAGCGCCGCGTGCCATGAGACTCGTACTTATTTCTGACCAATGGGAGTCACGCTTAGTGGACGGCTCCGCCCATCATTGGACGAGTTCATACCACGCTCGAACCGATCCCTTCCACGTGGCGTAAAAACGCTGCCTCGCCTCAGCGGCGGTGTGACATCCTGCCGCGCCGTCACACCCTGCGGCGCCGTCGCCGGAGGGCAGTCCGTCGGCGGCGGCGCGCGGGGTCGTCACGTAAGCAGCGTCGACGCTGACGGCGGCGACACGTACCGTCGTCGACGCCGACGACACGGGCGCGTGCCGGCGCCGGAGCGGCCCGACCGACCCGGCTGACGCCCGGAGGGCACCGATTGTGGACACCCCGGACTGGAGAGGCGTGAGCGGCCCCAGTGACGACGACCACTGTCGGTGGCGACGAGCGGCGGTCGGAATGGACGCCCCCGGCCGGGAGGCTGGCGTCGGCGTCTTGCGCGGCCGGCCGGGACAGGTGGAGCGGGTGTCGTGTGAGTCGTCGCTTGTCACCTCCGCGTGCTGAACGCTCTGACGGTGAGGACACGCCGAATCACACCGGCATCACGTCCAGCACGGGACTGGAACGATCCGAGGAGGGGGGGGGGGGGGGGGGGAGAGGCACAGAACAAATTCCACCGAGCATGCAGGATGTATTTGCATTTTGTGTCGAGTAGCTGTGTCTTCTGCGGTGCCTATATGAACGGTGAGACCGGAGTGCTTTGCCAACAGAGGTGTGTTGTTCCATCGCGGGTCAGATTTTGTTTTTATCCTTTACTAAGCATACATTTAGGCCTTTGCTTAGGTAGCTTTCCGAGACCCACATTAAGAAGGGCGTGTTGAATTGTACCCAGCTTATGGAACTGTGCTAGTGATTTACACAGATTTAAGCATGGAGTGAATCATTGCAAAGACAATGCTTCAACATATCCAAGTAAAGCTCAACAGCAACATTGACTGAAAATCAGCGTCACACGCCGCGACGCCACTACACGTTTAAGAGCGCCCTAAAATCACGCCTTTTAATTGGCATTATACCACCACCACCACGCCATTCTCCCGCTATCGTCTTCTCTCCAGCTTCCTCTGTTCCCGTCTCAAGCCCATCTTCCCCTTCTATTGTCTCCTCCCCAATTCCCCCGCTGCTGTCTCCTCCCCACTTCCCCCTCTGCTGTTTCCTCCCCACCTCCCCCTACTCCTGTCTCTCCCTCCCCCAGCTTCCCTCTTCCTGTCTCATTGACAGCTTCCCCTTGTTCTTGTCTCCTCTTCCCATCTCCCCCTGTTCCTATCTCTTCTCTACTGTCTCCTTCCCATAGCCCCTGCACCTGTCTCCTCCCATCTCCCCTGCCCCTGTCTCTTCCCTGTGCCTGCCGGTCTGTATCTTTCAACCCAGTGAATCACAGGGGGACCAAGGAACCAGCCGGCAGCGTACCAGGAAGTTGAGACGTCAAACGTTACGCGATGAATGTTCCCTCGCCGTTTGAAACTCCAAACGGAGTTCCGACTATCGACAGGAGCTTCCAGCGGTTTGTCACGCGCCGACGCTCATGACCAGGCCCGCTCCCGTCTGGATGCTGGATTTTCCAATAGTGCAAAGCAGAACCCGGGCTGAGCTGTGTATAAAAATACGAGCCACATATTGGTGTGCCAGGTCGTCATCCAACGTTGTATGCATAGGTTGAAATCGCATATTTAGTGTAGGATTCAGTGCCGAGGGCGTAGTTTGGTAAGGCTGAGGGTCACAGCTCATCCAGCGCCTTTCCCAGCCCTTGGATATCCATGACGGCACCATAAAGTGAGGAAGAACTCTGACATGGCCTTAGCGGGTCCGAGGTCCAATACACCAGCGAATTGGCTCAAGCCAAGCTTAGCAATATGTTCGGGCTGCCTGGGTAGCCGTTCATCCCAGGCCACGATTAGCGTTTATCATCGGTTGGGACGTGGCTTGGGCCCCAATATTTGTCGCGTCCTCCTTAACCTTTAATCGAAATCACGAGAAATTCACAAAATTAACTAAAAGCGGTATACACGTCCATCTTTTGGAGGAAATGTGATTTCACGCTAACTCATCAAATTTTGTGAGGTTCTGCTTCTACTGACACCATCACTCAACTTATCTGAACTGTGAGCATGCTGAAACAATCGAGCTGTGGAGGCGTGTGGTTTGAACGAATCAACACACTCAATCACGAACATCGGCCACCATTGGGCACGGATGGTTTTCAAATGCTCCCACCTGAATAAACTCGTAAAAACATTGTTTCTAGCAGTACTCTACAATTTCACCGGCCGTGACACACGCGGTATGGCACTGTACGCTCACAACAATTTTGTTTCTAATGGGCTGCATCGATTCTTGACAACGTTGTCAATCTTGTGCGGGAAATAACACAGACGGACCGGGCCCAGCCTTCCCTCGGTATGCTGGGTGAACTGAGCGTGACATTTCGTTTACCGTATCGACCGTACTTTCCGTCTCTGCATATTTTAGTGTTAGACATTGCCTGCAAAGCTTTCAGGGAACAATGCATTATTGCGTCAATTTTGTGTGAGGTAGATCCACTTATTATAAATTCATGTCTGTGGTCCGAGGATGACCTTGTGGGCCTGATGTCCTTGATGACCTTGATGCGGTATGACAAGTGGGCCAGTAAATCCACACGGCGTTGGTGCGCCTTTAGTTCTTATCGTTTGCGTGTCCCTACCCCTCTCCACCCGTTTCTCTCTTCTTTTGGGTTTCACTCTTCCTCTCATTGCTGCTTCGCCTTCATCCCTGTTTCCGTCTACGCCAGATTTCCACTCACTATTTTCCCGCTTCATCTTTTCCTGATTCGATCCTTTCTCATCTTCAAATGGATCATTGATAGCTCATGTTTCGGTTTAGCCGACTGTCGGTTATAGTTATGCAGGGCAGTCCACGCCGCCGGAAGCTGTTCTCTGGCGGGACCCAAGTACCCAACAGCGCAAAAGTTGACGAACGAGCAGCCTGTGGTTCTCAAATTATAACAGCCCGTGTGCGAGCTTTGTGACATTTAACATGATGTCCCTCACAACTTGAGAGCCACACGCGAACCGCGTGCTTACTTTCACGCTACTTGACTTGTGGACATTATGTTCCCTACAGCTTCGGTGTTGCACATCCTGATTGTTGGCTCAAAGTTTTATGTTGACAGGTATTGACCCTTCATATGCCAGAAGGTACTGATTGAACAATGTCAGATACCTGATTAAACGATTAGTATGGCTTGAACCATCGGGTTTTGACATCAACCAATGTTTGCCCGATAACATCTTTTAACCAGCATCAACTGTTAAACCGAAGGTCGATAATTGTCAGCATAGGGACTCTGAACTCATAACGACAAAAATAACAGGAACGCAGGCGTTTAAGTACACTTCTACCGGTTAGTCAAATGGCGCTAGCTTTCACTTCAGCTAATTGCTTACACTGATTTAGGATACCCATCAGACAACGTGATAATTACATATGTTCTCATCATTTCAGTGTGAATCAACGTTAGGCTAATTGCTGGAAAACCGGCAGTGATCCCTCACGTTCTGCATGTTGGTGTTCGCATGCCGTGCTGTCTATTTTGAAAATAACCGTGCACTGGGACCATGGCCATCAAAGACGCTCGGCTGCTTACAGCTATTCTCCTTCCAGTCATAGACAGGTTTGCTTCCACTCAATACCTCCAGGACAATCCATGACAGGAGCGTGTTCGTGGCATGCTCTCCTCTGAACATCCTTCACAGTTGTTCTCAAAATTTACTGACGTAAGTGGAAGACCAACGCAATCAGTGACCGGACTTTGTTTAAAGGTATTCGGCAAGTTGGAAAATATTTACGTCGAACGAGTAGCAAGGTGTCTCACCATTCCCTGGCAAATTTTTCATTTTTGTTTTTTCACAGTCCAACTCTGCAGCTTAACTACTGTCATGATAAAGGGTATAACGTTCTGGAAGTTGACCTCGTTGCCGAGCAGTCACTCAAGAATTATATAATTATTTGACGGGTAGTCGCTCAAGAATTATAGAAGTATCTGGCGAGCATTTGCTTAAGAATAATGCAATTCTTAAACTGACACATGCGAAATGACAGCTGACTTTATCACCATCTTGGGTCATTCACATGTTTCTTTCTGAATTCAGAGTTGGCATGCTAACGGTTATGGACCAATAATAGACCGGGAGATACTGGTCAAACAGCTTAATCAGGCATGCATTTATTGTGTTATAATTATCGATGTTCTCAAGCTCTGCTTATGATTACGAGTGATAATAAGCACAGCGGGTGACCAATTCAGTGATCAAATAGTTGGCCGATAGCTGTCAGCATAAGAGCTCCGAGCTCACAATGCGGAAACATCGGGAGCCCAAAGCCTTCCGTGCGTGTATCAGATCGCTTCAACCAAGCGGTGTATTT